GTGCCTTTGTGGTGCCATTCAAATGAATGAATGTCAACACAATGAACCTGCCGCACTGTAACAAATGGTAGCATGCGCTAATCGCACAGAACGGCCTTGGTGTGAACAAGCTCTGAGAGGGGTGATGCCTCCTGGTGTATCCCTGTCACCAGTGAACATCCGCACACCTCTCCCATCCCACCCCCACCTGCTTCCTCGGTCCCAAACCAAATCATACCTCTGATATAGTGAAAGACAGGATCGCTGCTGGAATTCTGGTACAGCTGCCTGGCATGTGTCCTGCTGGTGCACCTGCAGCTCTCCCTGCCTGCACATTCTGAGGCCCCTGGTCAGTTGGGTGCCTTGCCGGACACCGGCTCGCTCCCTGGGAACCAATGATATGGTTGGCAGGCAGCCTGCACTGCATATTTTGCCAAGGGCATCTAGGCTTTTAGCAAAGTGTGCTGTTCATCCACCCACCATCGATATCATTGGTTGCCAGGGAGCGAGCCGGTGTCCCGCAACTGATTCCTAGCAACCAATTATGTCATCATCGCTAAAAGACGGAGTCGGCAGCCACAGTTCACGACAGCATCTACAGCGACAGATGAGGTCATTGGTTGTAAAGAGGTGTGGGTGTGTTGGCTCCCATGCTGCAGTGGAAATGGACACCCGCAGGCTGTTGTACATTTTTGGATCCATTTAGCCACAACACCCCTGATAAGCCCCCCAGAACCCTGGTTGAGAATCACCAACCTACTCTATCCAAAATGAAACCCCCCCCAGTAAAGCATTCTTCAAACAGAAGATTTTTACATGTCTTATTCCATCACATATCCCAAATATAAAAGTGTTATTACTTATTTCACGAAAGTCAACGGGACAATGCAAAACAACAAAACATTCCTTCGTGCTCCTTGGCCAACAACATCAGTAACTGCTGCTCTATAGCACAGATACAGCCTAATAGAACTCTCGGGTTTTACTTTAAATAAAAAAATAAAAAAAAAGTTCTGACTTTATATATACCTTGATGTTAACTGTTTTTTTTCAGTTTTGCAGTCATTCGTTTTGTCTACTATTTCCACGCAAGAGTTAACCTTTTTTAAATTTGTTCCTCTTAAAAATAAAAGCAGAACTGTAAATGGATTTGTCACAGCTCTCAAAGAGTGTAGAATTCAAACGATTTGAAGCAGCATGTTGTGTGTTCACTAAGTACTTTTCTTTGTGTTCCCGGGGAAAAAAAACAAATATTAATATGTCAAGATAAACCAGAATTCTTTCTACGTGTTAACAACCAAATTATGATCACAACATAACATAGCACCGCTGTACAGGAAGCCTTTCATCCACATTAGCAGTTAGTACATGCAATTAACACCAAAGAACAAAGACAGCTCCCTGTGTTTAGTCCATGTGCCACCACCAGATGCATAGAGCTAAACAAGATGGGGGCGGAAATAAATTCAAGGTGATGCTTTTAAAGGAGAACTATGAAAACAGATACATCATTTAGCAGTATGATTGAAAACTATATAATATTTGATCTATGTCTGGTTTGTTTGACTATTTGGAAGAAGAAATAATTTACCAAGTCAATGAATCTGTGCACTTTTAGACCATGTGTGCACTTACTCTTTTTGTACCTCTCCCTGACCTAAACGATCCCTCCCTCGTCCTCCACAGATCTATACTTGCCAAGATCCACTGCTCTGCTATTTGTTGACATCCAGCAGTACAAGACTTCTTCTTCTGGCCGTGTTATTCTTCCGCCTGGGAGAACTTGAAATCTATGGGGATGTAATGTGCTGGTGTGGCCGCCAGAGAGAGCATTGTGGTGTTGGATGTAAACAATTAAGGAATTGCACCCATCAGATCTTGGTAAGTACAGATCTGCGAATGGGGAGGGTGGGATAATTAACATCAGTGGTGAGGGGCAAAAAGGATAAGTGCACATTGTTTTTAAACACACTTATCCTTTATGGCTTTTGGATGATATACACTGCTGTGTCTTTATTCTGACACGGAGCGATGTCAGAATAGAAAAAAAATAAATAAAAATGTTGCCCAATTGCTAGATTCCTATTGGCTATTTCAATTTGCAATAACCAATAGTAAACTAGTATTGCACACGCCCTCTGCTGTACCCCAGTACCCCAAAAAGTCCATAGAAGACGCTTTAAAAGCCCCCACAGGTCATCAATTTAGAGATACTCCAAAATACTGGCCCTAGAATTATTGCTCTCACTTTTTTTTACTTTACTTTGACTGCTATCACATGGGGGGGGGGCTTACAAGCCCCCCCATGTGATTCGGGACGCAGAAGCGATCTGGCGACAGGTAACGCCAGGATCGCTTCTGTTGTAAAGCCGACATTCGGCTTTACAAGTTTAAACAGAGTCCCGGCGGCAAAAGTCACCGGGAGTCTGTTTAAACAGCCCCGATGCTGGCGACGTACACTGTACGTCGTCAGTCACGAAGGGGTTAACCAGCAATTACCACTTGCAGTGCAGGGGTAGGCCCACTGCACTGACAGTTGATAAATGTGGGGCTAGTGTACTTTAAGTAAATGTCATTGGAAGGAAAAACCTAGTGCAGTGTTTTCTGCTCGCTACATAAAAATGTCAGGGCAGCAAAACATTGTCATCAACCACTTGACAGCTTTTTAATACTTGATTTTATATCATGCTGAGGAACAGAGCTAAGGAGGAAGAGAAATAAAACCAGCTGTGTCCTCTAAGAATAGCTTTATTTCCCCTGTGAGCTCTGTAAACTATTGTTGTAGTAACAAATCTTGGCAAGTCTTTAAATAAAAGGTTTTTTTATTTGTGTGGAGGAACAACAAACACCATTTGAACAATACTACAATGAGCTATAAAAGGAGATCTATTGGGCGAGAAAATGTGCTTTTCCCAATAGTTTGAGCTGGCGTGTAACACTGCAGGGGTTACATGTCAGCTCTATAGATGAGGGAAACTGAGGGATCAGAAACCGCTCATCTCTCGCGGCTTCTCCCTGCAGGGATATCCTCCCCTCTCTCTGTTCCTCCAGTGCTTATTGGAGGAACAGACAGGAGAGGGGGTGGGCACAGCTGGCTCTGGCTCTAGAGAGGCAGAGCCAGCTGTCAATCAGGCAGCAGGGTGGATGCGGACAATATTGTGGGGTCTTTACCAGCTGTGGCATCGCTCTGCTCTGTCAGCATGTAGTGGGAAGTAGCACGCTATATGCGGACTTTGGGTCACAGGAGGACATTCGTAAATGTCCTCCTGTGACCCAAAAGAGTACTAAAGCTAAAAATAAAAGTTTGGCCATAGTTCTCTTTTAAGGCGACCCGTCAGGCAGGCACAGATTACACACACAAAAAAGACATGGAGATGTAACCATTTAATACTTTCTTCTCCCACTGTTCGTACCGTAGACTCTATATTCATGAAATAAAGCTGTTGAATATTCTGCAGCCTCACTTCCAGGTATGTCAAATGCCATAACTGCAGAGTTAACCAACCCCAGTGATGATCGTTCTTAGTCTGTTGGCCTGAGATTGTTGTCTTGCGAGCTGGGAAATCTCTGTGCAGGGTGAGGCTGAGAGTGGTATTGCCACGTCCTTGTGATGCCATGCTCGGTTCAGAATTGCGTACAGTCATGTGTAATTGACGTACAGCGGATTCTGGCCGGGCGTATGCCATAGACTTGACCGCCAATTTCTCCAGATCTCAATCTAATTGAGCATCCGTGGGATGTGCTGGGAAAACAAGTCCGATCCATGGAGGTCTCACCACGGGACTTAAAGGATCTGCTACTGATGGCTTGGTGCCAGATACCACAGTATACCTACAGAGGTCTAGTGGAGTCCATCCCTTGTGGGGCAGAGCTGCTTTTGCAGCAAAAGAAGTCCTACTCAATATCAGGCGGGTGGTCATAATGTTATAGCTGATTGGTGTATATGTAGCGCATAATTGAAACTCTAAGGTTCGGGCATTTAACAGTTGAATGAGAAAAAGCATTGTTTAGCACCAAGGGGATAAGGCTTAAAGTGATCCTGTCCTTAGAGTAAGCTTCTGTAAATTGACAATACCTGTAAAAGACCAGTGTAAGTACTTGCCATTCCTAATGCCCGACACCGAATGCCACTCCAACTCTTAGATCAGTGGTTCTCAACCTGTGTAACCTCAGGACCCACATTTGTCCTCGATCATTAGGTCGCGACCCAAGTCGCACTACAATGGAGTGCACGGCAGTGTGGGCTGCTGTGCTGTGTCGGAGCTCCATCCATATGTGCATTGCTTGTACAGCTCCCATGCGCATCCTGTAGAGGTGCCGGGAGCCAGGATGTGATGTCACTCTGGTCCAGGCATCTCTACCGGACATGTAAGGGAGCTATAAGCAATACACATATGGCTGGAGCTCCCTAACGGGCATACCCCCAGCCCACCACCTCAAGTCAACATTCTGAGCCAGGCAGCATATTTTGAATGGCTGCTCAGGGGAGCTTCTCACCTAGAAAAGTGGAAGGCACGCGGCGACCCACTGAACACAGGGTTGCGACCCACCAGTTGAGAACCAAGGTCTTAGATCTTTCGCTGAGGTCCACAGGAAAACGGCCATTTCTAGGAATATTGATCTCCTGTGTTCTTTATCTGACCTCCACATATTACAGAGTACAGTAGATAGTGACATGGAGGTCAGAGAGAAGAACCAGTGAGAACTGCGTTTAGGATGAAATGATTAATGGAAGAATCTGATTGGCTGCTTTGCAACGAATACAGGCGATTGTAAAAAATGCACACTCAACATTCACACAAATTTATAAAAAAAATACACACAAAGCTGTCAATCGAATAAAAAAAAACAAAACACGTACACTAAATGCAACTTCTTAACCTTGTGGTCACAGTACAGATAGGTATCTATACACTAAAGGCTTATATTCCAAAGTTGTAAGTCCATGATAAGATTATTTATTTCATCATGTAAAATAAATACATTTTATATATAAAATCAGTAAGGCATGAGAAGGTGGTAGGTCAGGTACACACATGATGAGTCAGGCGACGGTGTCTATGTTGATTCTGTTCGATCACTGTCTTGGTTCAACTGAATGTGCTGAAGCAACTGATCACAATATGCAGGGGTCCTATGTTTATGTTTCACGGCTTCGATTTCCCACACTAACAATGAGGGATACACAATGCTGGCCTCTTTTAGGACATCTGCAATGCAAACAGAAAGATTACCATCACTAAAAGTCATAAAGGGGAACCCGTCAGTCCTCAACCACTTGAGTACCAGCCTGTATCCAGCCATTCATTACCAGGCCATTGTTCAGTGCTGAGATAGTTTGACTGACAATTACTCAGTCATGCAATAATGCACCCAGATGAATTTCATATTATTTGTGGAGAAAGATAAAGCTTTCTTGTGGTGGTGCTTTTTTTTAAATATGGAAAGGAACAAAGGCACCATAAAACGCATTACAAATTCTCTTAGTAAAGTACAAACACCCCCAAAATGACCACTTTTTGGAAAGTAAACACCCCAAGGTGATCAGAGTTTTTGCCACAATTTTTCGGAAATGAACAAACATGCTGATATTGAAGTGGTTAAAACATGGAATTTGGTGATGGTGCTCTAAATAAGCACATCATGAATGTACAGGTCACACACAGAGGGAGAAGGGGGTGATGGGGTTAATTCACGGGAAAGGAGATCCTTGCTGCACTCCTTACCGAATTCCCATATAGATACAGGCGGGTGCTTGGAATGATTGCGGATGGCGCCGCCAACAAACAGATAGTAGAAGAATGCCACCAGCACACCAGACCGATCATTACAGCAAATAAGTGTCCATTTATTGACGTATGCTGGCTCTCATTTGCAAGCGCTTTCGGGGGCGCGCAGGGTCCCCTTCATCAGGCTCAGGGATGACAGTGTAGCGATAACAAAATGTCATTAGATAGACATACTGATTAGAAAGGGTTGATTCACAGGACACATACAGGGAGAGGATGAAGATGAAGGGGTTAATTTGTAGGATAAAAGGAGGAGGTGCAAGTCCTAAATAAAAAAAAACAACAACAAAAGTCCACAATTAAATACCACCCCCCTAATTTGCCATTCAATCCTCCTTCCTCCATTGTGGACGCAAGGGGAGGGCTCTACAGTGGCAGTGTTTACATTTGTGATTTCTGTGATTGGCTATCGCAGTGTTCACAAGGCAGAAAGCCACTCTGATTGGCTCTGAATATTTTCCATATGATTGTCTAATGACAGCATGATCACAGCATATTCCTGCCACACGTACGAGAACTAAACAAAGCGTCAGATTTTTTACATTGTGTTGGTATTGAGGTGGTAATCTAATGTTGGTAAACACTACCTAGATGCCCCATGTACTTGAAAGTGGAAACCAATCTGTCTTTACATTCCTGTACTAAGGTCAGCTCTTAAATATACAAATGATGCCAAATTCAGAAATAGTTGAGATGACAGCTGCCAGTGATCTCAGACATCAGACAGGTTAGAACCTGTGCAGTGCCCTCTTCAACTCTGCACGGATAGAGAATTTCCATCATTGCTGGTACTCTGGAGCTGCTGGAAACTCACAACCCTAATGCAGTAAGAAAAGTGTTACCCACCACTGTAGATGTTTGAAGCTTCTTGCCATATTTCCATTATTTCAGCTTAAATAAAACTGTATTTGGAGATTTTTTTTTTTTACAAACCAGCCACATATTTATCTCTAAAGTTGACCACACACATTACAATTTGATTGTGCAATCTATCAAAATAAATCCATAAAACTGATTCAGTTGCTATAGGCAATGGGAAAAATGTCACCTCTAGTGCAGGCCTTCTTAAACCTTTTCCACTTATGACCACTTTTCGGGCAAGTAAACTTTTACGTGACCCCA